TAAACAGACCTTAATGTATGCAGTCCATGCAAATCTGCCTACCTGATCCAGTTTTTTAAAGACTCCCATGTTCAGCTACGTACAACCTTGCCACACAGAGCCCTCCAAGGCAGTCCCTAGAGCCATTGAAACAGTCAGAGACATGACCCTTTGGTTGAATCTTCTCCTGTTCTCTGCCTTTTTCTCAGGTAATTTTCCCACATGAGGAAAAAACAGGAATGAATGACTTTTCCTTCATGACATCACCCTGATCTTTCATGTGTGTTTAATTTTCAGAATGTCGTTCAGAGGTTCAGCTGGTGGAGACTGGAGGAGGTGTTGTGTCCCCAGGAGGCTCCCTCCGCCTCACCTGCAAAGCTTCAGGATTCACTTTTAGTGACTACAGCATGCATTGGGTCCGTCAGGCTGCCGGGAAAGGCCTCGAGTGGGTGGCAGGAATAAGTTATGATAGTGCTTATCAGTGGTATAACTCCAAGGTTCAGGGAAGATTCACCATCTCCAGAGACAACGCTCAGAGTTCAGTGGATCTGCGGATGGCAAGCTTGAAGCCTGAAGACTCTGCCGTGTATTACTGTGCAAGGGACACAGTTACAACTTCTGCTTTCAAGCTTGTACAAAAACCTCAGATCCCCTTGAGTGTGGAGTGTGGAGGCAAGAGTTCAACCCTCATTTTCTCTACTGCTGGAATGGAGGAGGCAGAGAGGAAAACATGGCCAGGGACAGAGAGGTTAAAAATAGAACATTGTGAGGAATCATGGTCAGGAAACTAACAAAACAACCTCATAGAAAAAGTTGACCAATTCCAGACAAAAAGGCTGAATTGACTCAAAAGACCTGACACATTTAGTTTCAAAGAATTTTTTTATCAATACAAAACAAATGAAGCTTTCAAGGAAAAACATCTCCTGCCATGTGCAGGATTACAAACGGCATACTAATAACAATGTATACTGTATGTACAGACACAGACAGCACATTCCAGATGTATTAATTGATTAGTCAACTTTCTGCAATTTTAATGAGATCAGTGGCTGGGAAATTGGGCATCATTTGTGCTGGGAGGTGGTGAATTGAATTGGGAAGAAGGACAAAGACTTAGTGAGTCGTGGCTTCCTATAGTGAATTTGAGTGATCTGGTGGTTCCCCTCTATGTTCATTTGAGGTAGTGGATGCTGCCGTGAACGATCAGTCTCTGGGAAATTGGGCATCATTTGTGCTGGGAAGTGGTGGGATGAATTGGGAAGAAGGGCAAAGACATAGTGAGTCGTGGCTTCCTATACTGAATTTGAGTGATCCGGTGGTTTCCCTCTATGTTCATTTGGGGTAGTGGATGCTGCCGTGAATTGAACGATCAGTCTGGATTTCTGGAGAGAGACATGAGCATATGGGTCTTGGTCCATCTACAGAAACAAATGGAGAAACGAAAACTGATTTTCCCAACTTAATTCCATATCTGAGAGTGGCTCTTCTACTCTTTCTTCCTATCAGCGTATGATTTGTGCAACAAGAGAAGTATGCAAACAGACACATGTTTGGGGGCAGCTAAGGTTATTCAGATGAGAAACCTAGACAGCATCTTAACAGCAGAGTCATCACCTTGCTGACAAAGGTCCGCATAGTCAAAGCTCTGGCTTTTCCAGTAGCGATGTATAGAAGTGAGAGCTGGACCGCCAAAGAATTGATGCTTTTGAATTGTTGTGCTGGAGGAGACTCCTGAGAGTCCCCTGGACTGCAAAGAGAACAAACCTATCCATATTGAAGGAAATCAACCCTGAGTGATCACTGGAAGGACAGATCCTGAAACTGAGGCTCCAACACTTTGGCCATCTTATGAGAAGAGAAGATTCCCTGGAAGAGAAGAGAAGACTCCCTGGAAAAGACCCTGATGTTGGGAAAGTGTGAAGGCAAGAGGAGAAGGGGACGACAGAGGACGAGATGGTTGGACAGGGTCACCGAAGCGACCAACATGAACCTGACACAACTCCGGGAGGGAGTGGAAGACAGGAGGGCCTGGCGTGCTCTGGTCCATGGTGTCCCAAAGAGTCAGAAACAACGTAATGACTAAACTACAACAAAAAGGTTATTCTTAAGGGATGTGGTGGCACTGCAGGTTAAATTGCAGAATCCTCTATGCTGCAAAGTCAGAAGACCAGCAGTCTTAAGATCAAATCCATGCGACGGAGGGAGCTCCTTTCACTTGCCCCAGTTCCTGCCAACCTAGCCATTTAAAAGCACGCAAATACAAGTATAGATACCACTATAGTGGGAAGGTAACAGTGTTCCATGTC